CCCGTGATTGTTAGTGTGTGCGTGGAAGGCGGAGTTATACGTTACGAGATAAAAAGGCTTTATGGAGTACATGGCTAAAGCCTCAATTTAGCTGCTGTTTCCTATGCTTCTAAAAGGGATAAGGCCAGAAGTACAGCAGCCACGCAGACGAGTAGAGATTAAGATTTCTTAGAAAATCCCTAAGAGAAAACAAATATTCTTACTGCTTGTTGATAAGAGATGGTCGGTCTAACATATTGATAGAAAACTAAATAATATCTGCGGCACTCTCGTGCTCCTTCTCTCATTTGCAATGCATTTTCAAGGAAAGTAGGTTTCATCCTTCATTCAGTCCTTTGTCCTTGGGAAATATTTACATATATATATAGATATCCTGCCTATTTATTTATATATCCTGCCTGCCTGCCTGTCCTCAGCTCCCTTCTCTGTTCCCTTTTCATTGATTCCGCTCTTTGTTTTACTTTTCGCTTGTCGATTCAGTTGTTGTTGCTGCTTGGCACATTTTTGTCATTTTACAAATTTTTGTGAGAAATACAGATAGAGAAAAAAGGGATACCTTTGCCAGAAGTCCTAAGAATAACTACGAAAAAACTAAAACCCAAAGAGATTACATCAAACGGGGCATCAGCAAGACGGAAGCCTCTTCATGTGGCAGCCTGTTTTCAGCATATTTAAGCACATCAACGTGGAAAGCGGCGGCGGCGACGGTGGCGGCGGGAAAGGACCCCAACTATAGTCCTTGCCGTCTGTAATCATGGCGGCATTGTCACGCATAATTAAAATTAAATGCGCTTTTGGGAATAATTCAAATGAATAAACGAGCGTGGCCGACATGTGTGCTGCATAAACAAAATGAGTTTGTCGCGCGGGCCAGGGGCTGGGGCAGGAGGAGCAGCTCCGCTCGTCTTGAACAGAAAAACTTTTTAGAACGCGCTCGTTCTTCCTGGCCCTTTGTGGCGAGTACGCCCCATTCAAGTAGTGGGCGTGGCCAGGACACAACTGACGTTCTGGAGAGGAACGCTTCATTTATTATGCGACTGATGCCCATTAATTTTGCAGGCCATAGTCTTCGGCTTTCACTTGGTTCTTGTTTGGTTTCCCCCCCCCAAAAAAAAAAGAATCCCAAAAAAAGGAGAAAATCGAGTAGGCCCTATGCACATGCGTGTGGCTGGCTGGCTGGCTAACTTCGGTCTGTGGAAAACTGGGGAAAAGCTGCCAGGCCATTCAAATTACAGCCATCTCTTCCAGACGCAACGCATTTTTCGTTCACTAATTATTGACATGGCCGAAAGGGGGAGTTGGCTTCTAATTGCTCAAATAGTTTGGCCAAGTTTCGGACCCAGCCTTGGGGCATTCCTCTATCGCTTCGCATCGCATCGATGCCCAATTTATGCCGAGGCACGAAGTTGTCAAAAATTTTAATTAAACACGAAGCCATCCAGCAACCCTTTGTCGGGGTGATGGAAGGATAAACCAGAGGCTGCTGTCCCCTTGTCAGCGACTCAAAAAGTTCTCTAATTAAAAGAATTCACTAAATTCCGAAAGCAAGTTCCATCTCTTCCCTTAAAGTAACCGATTGGAGGGGATTTGAGGACCGCAACTAACTCTCAAAAGGATAAACAGATACCAGAAAACTCACTAAGCACCTCGCATGTATTAATTATCGAAGTCAATGGCATTCTCTACTGTAGCATCCCCACGCAGTGTTTAACATTTTCAATTTCCCGGCAACAAACCAACTGAAAAGCCTATGAAAATGGCATGAAAAGAGCGACAATCCACTGTCCTCCTCCTCTCCTCCCTAGCAAACTCATACACAGTGAAACAATTTCCACACTTCTCCACATTGATATCACCCAAAAATGTTCAAAACTGATATGTGGCAAGCCAAGACCATTACTGCCTCGAGAACTTAGAACAAAATTTATAATATTTTCCCGTTTCGAGAGTCTGGAAAGTATCTTTCGGTGCAGGAACACAGAGTCCGATGCAGCTGAAACTGCGACTGAGGTATCTGCCGGATGCTGCATTGTTCCCATAAAGCGCCGCCATTCTGACAGCTGCCGCATACTCGTGTGTAGGCGGAGAGGAGCCAGCTGCGCTCCATATAAATCGACAATGGGAACCAACTTTTGTCAGCGTTTCACATTTGCGAGAGAGCTGTATGAAAGCGGGTTCCCTGACTTTTCCTTGCAGTTTGCCACGAACTTTTCTATCTATCAGGAACTTTCGATCACTAACAGTATTCCCCCTATAAAGATCTTTAAGTTTAATCTGCTTTTCGATGATTTTCTAATAAGTTTTGGTACCATAACTTATCATAATTCCTGAACCCAGGGTATTACCCACATCGATCTGGCCATTTATGGCTGTCGTTTTTTGGGATTTGGTGCTTCGCAACCGAAATTGAAATGGATGACAAGGCGGCCGGTCATTTGCCTCTAAGCGCCGCTTTCAACGCGTTAACGCGCTTCGCAAACACGCGGAAAGAGATAGCTGTTGGGGGGCTGTGGTGGCCATGGTGAAAAAGTGGCAGCTTATGGCAGATGGCGGCACTCTAATGTGGCCACTTTTGGCATTTGACGGCCATCCAATGCCCAATGTGCACTGTCCAATGTGCGTGCAATCATGGCCAGCGGGTCACGCAGATTTATGGCCGTTTTCCCAGCAGAAGAGCCAGACCCCTTTGCCGGGGCTCACCGGAAATTGGCAAACAAAAATGGCAAAGCCAAGTGAGCAGCAAATGGCATCAAGGCGGAAGTGGACTCTAGCCACTTTAAGCGGAAAAGTAGACTACGATTTTCCAGAGACTGTACTTTTCCAGCGATTCTCTAGGCTTTATCCATCCAGATTTTAATTGGACATTTGTTGATCTAATAAGTTAAATTAACTAAATTTAGTCCCCTTTTTAGGTAACATTTCCGATGAAAATGACACTTGGCCCGAATTACATCATTTAAGCCGGGCTAAAAGTTGGCAAGACTTCAACTTCGACTCCCTCTGTGCGAAATTTATTTGCCAATATTTGTTAAGCTGAAATTTGGCAACAGTGCCGTGCCGCTTGGCCCAGACCCTTGTTGGCCTTTCACTCAAATGCATTTGTTTACTTCTGCTAGCTGCCTTCTGCCTCCTCACTCCTGCCTTCTGCCGTTCTGACGCTTGTTGTTCTCGGATGGCTTTGGTAATAAACTTGAATTTTATTGTCCAACAAGAATGTTGCAATATGCTTGGCCATAATTTCAACGTCCTGCACATTGTTGCCAAAGCCGAAAGACCTTTCCCCCTCCCGAATCCCCTGTCCAGCCCAAATTTTGCGGTTCGAGCTTAACGTCTTTTCTGATTGCGCTTGTCCTTGTTCCTGGCTTTTCTTTTCCGGTTTCCCTCACAAGGTGACGACTTTCAACTTTTACATTGGGCCAGCCATCAGGAGGGCCCCACTATCTATAGTCCGAAGCCCAGAAACTAAAGCTACATTTTTGCCTGACTGGGAAATTTGCATTTTATGACTTTGCAAAGCCAACAAAGAGTTCTATCAGCTGCAGTAAGTATTTGGTTGGGGAACTTATAATTTTGTTTATATTTTAAGTTGGTAACTGTTAGAAGGCCCACTAAAAAGATGAAAATTCATCGCTCACATATCTGATTTCAGCAACATTTCCCCAAAATACAAATCCGATTTAAGTGGGAAAAGTTATTTGGTCGCCTTATGACATTTTCCGGAAGTTTGTAAAGACTTTTCAGAGCCCGGCTCCCCCAAAGACGAGTACAGCTGCGTTTTCCCTGACGAAACGAAACGAACCGAAAGAGCGTAATATATAAATAATTTTTCATATTTAAAGGCGCTTGCTTTGGCATTTTTGATGGGCGGAAATCAAGGAAATCAGAAAAACAAGAAAAACAACAACAACAACAACAAGGAGGGGGGAGGAGGGAGAGGAGCTAGTAAGTTGTGTCCAGACCATTGCAAGTTTAGAGCAACTAATTTAAAATTTATGATGCACTTGAATTGCAGCTGGCAAAAAGTTCAAAAGTTAACCCATACGACGACAAAGGCGAAATGCGAGATGGGAAAAGGAAAATGTGGAATGGGAAATGCGAAATGGGAAATGGAAAATGCGAAATGGAAAATGCATAAAACAGAACTGAAATATTCATCGCATACTTTTAGCCATCGAGATGTGCGTTTTTTGTTCTATTTTTGTTTGCCATATTTTTTGGGTTTTTGTTTACTTTTCACTGCCGCAACGAATGCTCGCAAATTGGCAATTAAATATTGAAAAAGCCAGGCTAAATTATTTTGGTAATAACCAAGTTCTAGTTCACTTTTTGGCTTCCTAATGGAGCGACGAAGCGAGTCTATCGATTGATTTAGTTGCCAAACTATAGGCATCTGTATGAAGTTATCGATTTAATGTTTGATCTTGGAAACCTTAACCTCATTCATGCATTATTCATGGATCAAAGTCAGGGTGGCAAAACAGCATTTCCAGGGGGAGGCTGGGCCCTCATTTGACTAATACCCATTTCATATAGTTCTTGCCTGAGACGGCTGCCTCTTGGCCAAATGCCTAATGACTTAATTAGCCTAATAATGAGCAAGGACCACGAGATGGTTTTCCCTCTCGTTTTCCGCATCCACATGCGGCGTCAACGGGCAACGGGCAACTGGCAAGGCAGCTGAACTATCTCTCTGGGAAAATGGGTGGAAAGTGTCCTGGCCACTCGATGGGTGTGCGTGGGTGTGTGTATCTCCGTTGTGCGAATGATAATTGCGTGGGACGTAGTAAAAATGTTTTAACCGTGGCTCTCATAAATCATAATTAAGCTCAAGATGTGAGAGTGTCACCCCCCTCGGTAATTAATGCCTGTGCATGGGTATGTGCGCCTCTGTGTGTGTGTGTGTGTGTGTGTGTGTTGCTTTTTACTTATTAACTCATTTGGGCTAATCATCAGCCATCCCCCAGCGACCCACTTTCGGGGGTGTGCTCATTCACACTCACCTTTTCACGCAGCATATCACGTATACGCCCCGCCTGGTTCTTCGACCGATGCAGCTCCAGTTGCAGCTCCAGACATCTCTCCTGCCAATTGATCTGCAGGTAAAGAAGGGTTAAGCGAGGGCTTAGCGGGGGTTTAGCAGGGGCTGTGCTCAACTAACTAGCTGGTATATCAGTTGGAAGCCATGTACTTTACCGACATTCGATGGATCCTTTCAGATCCTCCTTCTTCTTAACCCCTTTACCCCTATTCCGACTCACCTCCGGCAGTGCCTGGCCGTAGTTGTTGACCTGATGCACGTCCAAGTGCTCGGTGAGCGTCGAGAAGTGTGGCCATGGAGCATCCGGTGCATCTAGAGCCGCCAGCACGGGGTTCACACTGGACTGGACAGCGGTAGTTTGCTCCCTCGACGGAGTCTGCTCTGCGGAGGCCTTCACCTGATTCGGCTTGGCCGGAATGGGTGGTGGGCGTGGAACTCGACGGGGCAGCAGCCTGGGACTATTCGGTGTGGATGCAGTGACGCCAAGGGATCCCGATGCCAACGCAGTTCCCGTTCCTCCGGAAGCGAAACGACCCTGAGCCACCGATATTTGGCCACTGAACGAGGTGGCCCTCTTGGCCAAAAGCGGTGATCCTTGCAGCGACTGCGAGCCCGACAGGTAGCCGCGAGCCCCGCCCAACTGGGTGGGCAGCGAGGGCGGCTGGCTGTGCTGCTGCAGGTGGTGGACTTGGTGGTGGTGCTGCTGCTGATGGTGGTACAGGTGTGACGGGAAGGTGTGCAGGTAGCCACTGCTGGCGCCATCGTGCGGCCGCAGCAAGTAGTTGTGCGCGTGGCTGTAGTACTGCAGTGTGTTTAGTGGGCTGGCCACGCCCAAGGAAGGCGTGGCCCGCCCAGATGTCGAGGCCGAAACACTGGCCGAAGGCGATGGCGACGAGGAGGCGGATCGCCTGCGCTGCTCCGCCGGCGACTGCTGCGAATGCGGATGCAGTTGCTCCTGGGATCGCAGGTGCTGCTGCTGCTGGAGATTGGTTAGCGTATCGAAGATCTGCGACAGGCGACCCAAAGGTTCCTCCTCAGACATTGGCGCAGTGGCGGAAAATGCTGCAAAATAGTAAAAATTAGTCTTCGTCCATTCCAGGTTGCACTTAAGGTTGAATCTTGCCATAGCTTAAAGGTTAATGCTGATCTAAAGGATATACGAGTATACTCCTCTGATATCTAACTGGAATGCTAAGCCTCCCCTTTCGGCAAAGGCATAAACTTCAGAGCCAGCCTACTACGACCCAAGAAACCCACTAAACTGTTTTGGACTTTTCCTCGGATCTAGTCATCGTGGCGTCGGAGTGTCAAAGGTCGTTGCCTGGGCTTGGCCCACAACTTCAGTCGAGCCAGAGACACCAACAAGGTCTCACACAAACCTCTGGAAATAAACCCTTTTTTTCGACATTTTTCGATATTGAGTCAAAATTTATTTCTGAAGGCGATGGCGAATCCCAAGTCGAGCGGTGGCAACAAGTCCAAGGGCAAGGGTCACCAGAGCCGGCAGCCTCATCAGCAACAGCAACAGCAAACGGACTCTTCGCCGCAAGCACAGCAGTTGGCGCCTGCACCTGTGGCCGCCACTGCGCTGGATCCGCCCACTGCCACTCCGCTGGCCGAAACGCCCCCCTCGGAGGACACTTTGGCCTTGGCGGCCGCCGTCGCTGCCTCGATTCCTGCCGCCCCCCTCTCCCGACCCGCCTCCGATCGACGCGCTTCCACGCAGCCGCCGCCGGCGGTCACCCCAACCAGCAACAGTCCTACTGAGGCCGCCGCCAGCGAAGCTCTGGCCACCTCGGGAACGGCTTCGTCGGCAGCTGCGCCCCCCGAAAACAGGCGTAGCATCTTCCAGCGGTTCTTCAGCTGGAACTAGTGATGCATTCTCCTCCTACTCCTCGCTGACATTCCTTTTGGTCAAAATTGAAGTGCCCTAACTCCGCTTTAACCTGTAAATAAAAACCAATCTGACCGACAGTTAATGTTTCTTCTTCAAGAGCGAGCATGCAAGTTGGCATTTATGTTTCCAGAAGCTGAAGGTTCGCCTACTTTCCTTTTCCAGACTTGACAGGTATATTGATATACTTTCTATATCGTAAAGCTAAGGGTATCTAAGGCTACTATACTTCCTAGTCATACCCTGCCCTGAGAACAACTCCTATTGAATGTCTCAAATTGAAAACCTTTTAGTTTTGCGCTCAACAAAGATGGATGGGCGAATATTTCTGACCGTTCCGAACGTTGCACAAACAATGCCGGCCAATCCATCAATCCGGCAATCTGGCAATCTGGCAATCGGTTTGTGCATTACCAGATCCCAGTCAACATTTACACCTTTATCTACGTGCCCAAACGAGGAAATCAATGCGAGAGCAGTCGGAAAAGTGAGGAAAAAGCGATGGAGCAGAACGAGAGCGAGTGACACCGCCAGACGGAAGACTGGAACGTGGACAAGGGACAAGGGGCAAGGGACAGAGGACAGGGGACACCAGACACCATGAATTTGGAGAACTGGGCAACAACAGGTGCGCGAATCTGGGGCATCAATTGCCACTACGTGTGCGCAATGCCTAATCAACGCCCAGGTAGAAGCCAGCCAGAAGCGGGCGTCCAAATGGTGTCCAAAAGTCATTGGAAAAGGGCAGTTGGGAAATTGAATATGCCACTAAATTATAGACAGCCGACTTGACATTCTGGAGCTGCAGCCGGAATGTCGGGAACTCTTTCATATTTTGTGGTCTGTGAACTACTACTACTAGCTGATGCTTTTCCCAGCTTTCCCAGCTCTCCCAGCTTGTCTTACCCCACAGCATTCTGCGAATTTTCCTTGCTATGAATTTTTGTGGCTAAAAGCCTTTAGCTTTAGCTGCAAACTCTCCGGTCCGAAGTACATTTCCATTGCTGCAGCTCCTTGGCCACTTCTCTGGCGCTGAGGCTGTGGCTGTGGCTCCGGCTGCGGTCGAAGGGACCCCAGACCCCAGACCCCAGACCCCAGACCCCAGCCCCAGACCCCAACCAGACACATTCATAAGAATTATATTCCAATTTTGTGTCCCCTCCCCCGGCTGGAGAGGAGTCTCTGTGCTGTGTGCAGTGTGCAGTGTGCACTCACTTCATTTTGCAAATTTTGATTTAATTCGAGTTGATTGAAATTCAAATTCAGTTTTTGATTTGACAAAATGTGTCCTGGGCTCCACTTTGGGCCACTTCAAGGGCTCCTCCTCCTGGCTGCTCTCGATTTTAAGTGCACTTTGCAGCAAATTGTTTCTAATTTGCCCGGGCTTGTGTGAAAACTGGCAACCCTGCTCGAGGCGCTTCCGGAACTTTCCGCTTAAAGGGAACCGGAAATGTCCACAAACCACTTGATTAGCCTGTGAAGTTCGACAACAGCGCACCAGAAATTTCATTCGGATGCATTTCACTGGCTTTCTTACAACTTTAAAGGGGAAATTAAACTATAACTACTATCGACTAGTCTTTCCTTATCCTAAAAACTATTTAAATTATGCATTTCTGTCTCAAAAATGATCATAGTGAGGATCTTCACCCGAGTTTGGCCCCACTGTGGGTGTGCCTGTGCCTGTGCGTGTGCGTGACTGTACCTCATAAACTCAGAACAAAGCCTGCCGTTCGGCGGGTTTAACGAACTCATTAACAGGTATTAGCCAGGAAACCCAAGTTCGGTCATATTGGCAGGCCCGAGAGTCATAAGCGTAAGCGGCTTAGCAGGGCTCGTGTTGCATATGCATGCGGCATGCGGCATGCGGCAAGTTGCAAGTTGGTTAGTTGGTAGTGCATATCTATGCTTGTTTACCACTCGGCTTAGTACGAACTTGGCCAACACATGAACAGGAAACGGAAATGGGAATGGAAAAGGGAGAGAAAGAGGCAGAAGGGATGCGGATCCTGCAACTCAGATACAGTTAAACAACTGCCGGATACCGACACTCCGCCGCCTCAGCTTCGGGTTAACTTAACTTGGCTAAGTGCAGTAGTGCTGGGGCGTTCCCTGGGCGTATGGAGGAGGGAGGAGAAAGAAGAGAGCGGGGCCTTGGCAAATCCAACTGCATTGTCTTGTCTTTGCTCTTTGAAAAGCTCCCTAATGGAGGAATATGGAGGAAACCGAATATAAGAAAGGCGACATGGAATGGAAAACTCACTCAAATAGTTGGCAAAACTTGTTCACGGCTCCAATGAAGTGCAGAGTGGCAAAAGGGGGGTGGGGCGGAGATGGGGAGCGGAGGCGGACACAAAGCAAAACAAATTTCTGAAAACCCCAGACGACAGTTAAGCTCCCTTTCTTGGGTTTTCCACTTCTGCATTTCCGGTTCCTCTGCCGTCTTACATTTCCAGTTTCAGTTTCAGTTTTAGCCACTCGGAGCTCTGGCAAATATTGGACAATGTATTTATGTATCATCAGCACTGCCAGGGAGCATCTTTAAAGACATTCTGGCTGGTATTATCTAGGAGATCATCCTTAAGTTCCTGTCAATATGAACCCTAAATGCTGATCTATTAACTAAGTTTCAAGGAGCATTTTCCAGCAGACTGCAAGCTTGTAAAGTGAATGCAACATCAAATTTCAAATGGGCCCACGCACACACCAACACCAAGCAGGGCAACACACGCACACTCACCTCCTGCTCTACAGTCCATTCTCGCAGTGGACCCCTTTTCCAGCACCGCCTTCGCTGTGCCACATGAAAAATTTAATAAACGCTCCAGCATCGTTGGCACGCCAATAATTTGACACCCCTTGTTGCTTGCCCGCGGCCCTGTGAAAATGGGTCGTCAATTTGAAAAACATTGTCAGTGCAAGGGGGCAGAGGGAGTGGCGGGGGACAACTACTAAGCGTCGTATTAACATCATTGTAACACGCCAGTCGGAGGACATAGTAACGATGCCATACTCTCTTTGTTAGTACTAGCACTTTACTTCCTAAGAGGAACTTACTGGAAACTGCTATCGAGGCTCGAATGCTTGTGGCACTTGGTCACACTACGAAACATGGTCACACTGAACGTGCATGGGACTGTACTTCACAGCAGAGACTCAATCCCTTTGGAAATATGTAAATAACTTACATTTATTAATGTTTTCAGAACCCATAAACCCGCGCATTACCCACTTCCACACCTTCCCTCCTGCCTACCACCTACCTCCTCTTCTTATTGCTTATTTCCCTTTTTATAGCCACTCCCGCATGTTTTTCATCGCTTTCTTTTCGCTCTTTCATTCAACTATTTTTCACTCAATTCCAACGAAAAATTTATAATAAATGCTCGCGCACATGTGATGTCGCGCATTTTAATTGGTCTCTGCCACAGTAACTCTGAAAGGGAGTCCTAGGGGGGGCCATAAAGCCCAGACACACCATGCAACTGTAAGCCCAGTCCACATTACGGGGCAAGTGTGAGTCGAGGGCCTTAGCTCTTGGGTGCGTCTGTCTGTCTTTTCCGTCCCTTCGCTCTGTTCGGGCTCCCCTAACTCCTCTCTCAGTTGGTCGTTGTCTGCGGTTTCTCCTTGTAAAACGGTTGTCATTCTGCAGTTGTTGTTTATGCTAGTTGGTAAGCACTTAGAAGGGGGCCCAGGGGGTCGGGGCTGCCCCTCCATGACCTACGTGACAAGCAAAGAGACTTACAACAAAGCACCCACTGGCGACTAACGACTAGGGGTCTAGATCTACCAGATATATTGCCTTCTCTTATCCCTTCAACCATTAAGGAGCATTTGTTTGTACACCAAATGGATGTCTTTGCAGGACCGTATCGGAGCTCGATATGCGGACTCTTCTCGTAGATATATAGTTATTATAACTTTGGCTGAATGATAGCAATAGATAATATTAGAAAGAAACTAACATCCAGATCTCTTCAGCACTTTGCTCTTTAATCCCAATTAGCTTACCCAAATCAGGGAGACACTTGCAACATTTTGGCTGAACTGAAAGCCAAACCAAACTATAACTCTGCTCCTAAAGTGGAAGTTGGCCCAAACAAACCGTTAACTGTTGGACAAACTCTTAACCAGATACTGGCCATTCGAGACAGACAAAAACAATCCCACCAACTATAAAAAACCCGAATAAAAATAGAAGAAAACAACAACAAAAAGCGAGGGGGGAAAGAAGAAAAACAAACCGGTTTGCCACCCGCTTTGAAAACTTCCAACAAGCAACAACAACATGTTGCTTCTAATGAGACCGCAACAGCAGAACCAACAGCAAGAACCAGCTAACAAAAAGTGTCAAAAAATAAGCAGCTAATTAAGAGGCATGACCGTTGGCCATTTTAGAGACCCCACAATCACAATCACACAATCACAATCACAATCTCAATCAGAAGCAGCAAGCAGAAGCACAAGCAGAAGCAGAAGCAGAACAACTTCGACCTTCGCCTGGACCAGTTTTTCTGTGCCTTTTCTGCTCCAAATGGTTAGGAACAACCTGAAAATCTAGACACATTTCATGGAGCGGGTGTCGTGTCGACTGCAATTGCATGGCCAAAAAGTATAAATGAAAATGGACAGACTTAAGCTGATCGAATGGTTTTATACTCTTCAGTAGTCATATATATAAGATCAGTTTGGAAGAAAGGAATCAAATCTTTAATTTCTGATACTTTTGCTCATCCCGAAATCGTAATTCCCATCGAAAGAGTGTGGGATTAAGATCTGAATGCGACTCAGGTGCTTGGTGTTGGCTCCCTTCCACGCCACACTGACCTACATTCACCTGAGTTCGGTTGGGTTTGGACTTAGTTTAGTTTCCCGTTTACCTGGGTTGTCCAAAGTCCCTGAGAGCGTTTTTCCACCGATCCGAGTGCTTAATTACGAGTGTGTGTGTGTGTGTGTGAGTCGGGGGGAGGTGGTATTACAATATTTATGATTCGCATTCGTTTTAATTAAATTTGCAAGGTTTTCCACAGGGGAGGGAGAGGGAGCGGGGAGCTACACACAGTTGACTTTACGACTTGCA